TGTGTGTGTCTACTCATGTTCAACATTATGTTGCATTGTCTCCATCATGTAGACTTCTTGAGAATAGTGAAATCCTGGATCAATACGAACGGGCGTCACTGACATATGAAAGAGCGGAGCGGAGATTTACACCAGCATGATGCTGATGATGATGAAGGGACACTGTGACGACTGAATATGTGTTCATGTGCAAAGACGACACAAAGGACAGCTGCAATGCTGTTAAGCTCAGCTCTGTGTTCTACATACTGTAGGCAGTCCAGAGTTTTTTGTCCCCATGGAATAATATGGACCTTTACGATGAACGTGATTATTGACATTTAAATTTGGGACGTTAGTCAGAATCATATCTGTCATTGTCCTCGCTGATGGCAAAATTATGTGGTTAAACATCTTCAAGTTCATTTCTACGCATGTGTTTTTTAAAATGAGTAGCATACATGTTTTAAATTTTGATAGCAGATTATAGAGGCTTGCAGTTTGTCAAGTTTGGGAAGATTTACGTTATTAGAGAAAATTGAATTAAACTAAACAAAGTAAATGACTAACCTAATTAGATTTTAATAATTTTGGAATAACCAGAAGCATTTTAATTTGAATTACTATTGGAGGTCCAGTTGGATGGCTTGTGCATGCTTCTTTTATATCCATTTAAACAGGAACATACTTAGAATAAAAAGAATAAAATAGGAAAGGCCCCCATCCACTAATACATAAATCACATGGGCATTAGAAGTGGTTAAAATAAAGCATCTGTAAATGTATTCATTACATTGCATGCAGTCGTTTTGCTAAATCATTAGATTAATAAGAGAATTGAGCAAATAATTATCATTATTTTCATTTTAACTCAAATCCCTTTTGGTTTATCGACTAACTTTCAAACAGCAGCTTCATTTTGGCAAAGAAGAGATTTTGGTTTCTTTGTTTGTCATCTAACTCTTCTACTGTTGGAGCTTACAATCTTTGTATTGAAACAAACTTTTATACAAGGGCAGATTGAACAGATGACAATTTTTACAGGTACTCAAACTATCTTTCAGGGCTGATTTTATTGATGCTTTGTAAAAATAAATAACAATAAAGCTTCACCTTTTTTTCCTTTGTGTTATTGGCGTTTGGTCAGAAGTTTCTCTGTCCCATTAGCGTGTCCTCAAACTGTCAGCAACTCGCCATCCACGTCTCCCAGTCAGGCTTTTTCAGAGTTTCGTCTATTTACTGTGGCTGATTTGCTTTAGAGGAAGAACAGAACCAAACCAAAAGGATTAGCACCATGAGACAGGACAATAAAATTAATCCTAGACAAATTAAATTATCCCAGGTTACTGACAGACTTGTTAAATGACAATTTCTGTTTGTCCTAATGAGATTAACCCGATATATTTACTGCAAAGGGGAAGAATTTGCTTTTTTTAAAAATTAATACTCAAAGTTTGCAGGTTGGTTTTGTAGGAAAAGGTTATAAAAACATTTTGTTAAAAGTTAGAAAAATAGATCAGCTCTGAGCACATTGACATAAAAACATGCGATTCATTCACACTTGCATATGACACATCTATTTGTCTTCTGCTGTCATTGTCAAAATACCTGTTATTTTTCTTCTCACTGTGTAAATGTTGTATTTTCCATTATGTGCACGTTATTTTCTGTAATCAGTGTAAAGTATGCTTTTTTACGTCCATGCATTCCGCTTTCTTTTCCTTCCATTATCATATTTCCATGACCATACACAGACTCATGTTCCTGCAGACACTGAATAAAAGCGTTTTTTTCTTTTCTACACAAACTTTGTTGTCCTGTGTGTTGTGTCTGGTTCACAGCTGTGTCAACACATCTCATACAGATAAGAAGAAACTGTTAAAAACAATTCACACATACATTTACTCTGTTTTTCACTCTCTTACACACAAATACAAATCATCTGCCACAACACAGATGGAGGAAGACACCTTGGTAATAAGTCTGTACCGATATGATGTGAAGCAGCCGAGGCAGCGGATGAGAAACGTGTGGATCCCGGGAGAGACTTCAAGTAATAGTGTTTTCATTTCTCTGCAGATACATCAGACAGATGCATCATTCTGCAGCATCTTGCCAAGTTTGACAGCATTCGGAGCTAAGGTTTCTCACCTTTATGCATCTTGAGCGAACTGTTGCCCCGAGCAACTTTACCAATGTAGAGTGTTGTGATGAGAAAATTAAATTTAAAGAAAAAAAAAAGGATTGTGCTGTATGCATCAAGTTTAATGTCTTTGCTTTGGATCGCAGAGGTGCTTTTTTCCCAACCTGTGCTCCACAATGACGAGCCATGGAACACTGATCGTTTCAGATACCTGACTGACTTTTTTTTTTTTGAGAAATCAAGAACCTTTAATGTAAAATTGTTCGTGGAGGAAAAAACAACAGAATCAGGTTTTTTTTAGATCATTTTCTTGTAAGCATTAAAATATGAAATTGCATATTTCAGCTGCTGAGTTTAACTTATAATTGATCTTATTTTGATGTCATGCCTTTCTAGTAGAGTATCAGGTTGTTTTTAATGATTAACTAAAAGCCCTGTGGGGAAGAGAAAATAACAGGATGTATGAAATAAAGTGATGTGAAACTTTAATCAATGAATACTGACCCATCAACTAACTTTCATTTATTCCCACTTTTACTGATGTCTGAACATTACTAATTTATATTTTTGTCTTTGTCCTTGTCAATTTTTTGAATCCATTTGCTGATTTATTTAATAACACATAAGAAAGAGAAAATGATGGACACGTTTTCAATAAACTAATGTTTACTGATTTTATTGTGATGATTTATTTTTTTGGTTGGGCCTGTTTTCCTGTTTTCTGGAAATGTATAGGTTCTACCAATACTACCAACCTGGAAGAACTTCTTTTTAATAAATTCAGCTTTTAAACAATGCATGTTGAAGACATATTATCATACATATTGATTCCAGACAAATATTAGAATAGATGAGGATATTCTTTTAGGTGTACTTACTGTAAATGTGACTGCTTTTAGCTCATCAAACCACAGAATAAAGGATTATGTAAAATAAAGGAATTAAAACTTGCAATTTCATAAAACGTGAATATCCAAACACGTGAATGTGCTATAATGTATATTTTGTATAATAATAGTGGATCAAATGACCATGTGTAATATGAGACGTGCCGCTAATAATGTCCCACTGGGAATTAACCTCTGAGCCGATCAGATTTACAGAGCTTTAGAACATTATTGATTTGTGCAGGTGAACACACACATCACTCAACATGAATGCTCATGCCTGGTAAAAAAAAAAAAAAATAATAATGCTTTCAGAGATTTTAGTCCCGTCATTACATCGCTTGACAATTGAAATGCTTTGGCTTCACTTTTGGAAGCGGCCGTGTCATATCACACAATCCAGAGCTGAGACATATTTCACAGTTTAACCTTTAACATGCTATAAATAACGAATCCTTCCCAGGCTGTGAAGATGTGTACACAAGTTTTTATGAAGGGGAAGTTTCTGTTTCCTTACACAAACTCAATATCCCATGAATCCTCCGGATGATATGTGACGACACAACTATGCGCCACGATTGGTTTGACATACAGCACCCCTGTGGCACAGGATCACACAGTGTTCGAGTAGGTTAGTGGCAGATGGTGCATGTTTATATGTGGATTCCTATAAGAACTTTACATCATTATTGGCTGCGTTAGGTTACTTCCTTAGCTTTAGCTTGTTGTCACGGTGCACAGAATATAGCACCATAAGTTGCTAGCTCGTTGCACTGATAACATAGCAAGGACAGTCATGGCTTACACACAGATACTGAGAACCCTACATCGGAGTTTGCAGTACTCGGCCTCGCATCACTACACGGTACACACGTGTAAACTCATGCAGGTTAGCTTGTTGATCCGCGCACACAGGACCGCGTCGACCCCGTCCTCCACACCGAGCTTCCACAGCCGAGCCGGGCCCGCTCTGCCCGCTCTGCCCGCTCTGAGCTGCCTCGCACGGCGGAGTGTCCATGTGGACCTCCCGGCCAGAAACCGGAGCAGCCCCGAGGACAGAGACAAATCCGTGTCCCGGTTTCAGAGCCCGACACCTTCAGCTTCTCAGAAAGGTAAACAAGAGACTCCGAGACAGACACGTGTCCTCTGGGGTTTTACTATATTTTTAAATATGATTCATGGCGTGTGAATAGTAGTTAAATCATCGCACACTTTATTTTGTATACCAATATTGTCGTAATGCGATGCTACCGCCTGTAGGTGGCGGTAAACGTGTTTGCTAAGCGTCATTAACCAACAAATTAGAAAGAAGGTGTTGTATTATATTATGTTATTTTATATAAAGTTTTGCAGTATATAAATAAGAGTTTTAAACTACAACCTTCAACAGGAGCTATAGTCTTTAAACTGAAAATAAATAATGTTACCTTCATTTTGATAATTATCGATAATGACTGATATGAAAATGTTTTATCTCAATATAATTTAATGATATTTAGCCATTATTATTATTATTGTTATTATGGCCACTGTTATAGCCTCTTCCATCTCCAATCTTTTACAGTTAAGGATGCTGGCAGAGACTTCACCTACTTGATAGTTGTACTCATAGGACTTGGAGTGACAGGTAAATATAACTTCAAAAAGTATTCATCTTACAGATTTATCACCTATTTTACTAAATTAAGTTGAAATGTTTTGTCCTATTCGTGTGTGTGTGTGTGTGTGTATCAGGTGGCCTCTTATATGTGGTGTTCCAGGAGCTGTTTTCTTCCTCCAGTCCAAATAAAGTCTATGGGAAAGCCTTCGACAAAGTCAAGTCACACCCAGAGGTCAGAATGAGATCACTGACTGCCAAGGCAAAACATTATCAGACTCCTAAACTGGTCATCCGTCAACTGTGTGCGTGGATTCATTAACGTTTTTGTGACATGTGTAGGTGATCGGTGCATTCGGGGAGCCGATCAAATGTTATGGTGAGACCACACGTCGAGGAAGGAGACAGCAAGTCAGGTAGGAAATGAATAGAAAATAAATGTCCAAACAAAGTGCTGATTAGTTGTACTAGTGGGTGTGTTTTAATATGTTAGTGAAAAAAACTACCATCCCTCCTATGTTATGGTTTTCAGTTTTAAATAAGTACGGTCCTTCTGTAAACATCTTTGTTGTGGTAGAACTGAGGTACTATCTTGGATACTTGTGTTTGCTTCCATCTCAGTCACACGGAGTACCTGAAGGACGGACTGAAGCATATGAGACTAAGGTTTTACATCGAAGGCTCAGAACCAGGTCTCAAAGGAACTGTACATTCAGAGTCAAAAGAGGTTGGTGTTATTTTGATTAATTGCTTAGAGTCAACTTTTGCAATAGATGTGACTTAAAGGCCAGTAAAAGTAGTACAGTTCCTGTTTAACCACGATGCCTAAAAATTATACATTTGAAGTGAAGGTTAAAATCAATGGACTTATAACTTTCTGTCATTTTACAGAACAATGAAACAGGTAGATACGAGTTTCGATACATATTTGTGGATGTGGACACGTACCCAAGACGGACGATCATTCTGGACGATAACCGATAAGAGAAGATGTTGGACTCGCTGAACAAATGTGGATAATGTGTTTAAGGTTTGTGTTATTGGAAAAAAAGCTATGGGTGTAAACTGTAATTTACGAATAAAACGTGTTATGTTAAATATCAACAGTTGTTATTGATTGATACTTTGCTGCAACAGTGTTCTGGTTAGAATTTGATGAAGAGCTTTGTTAAGCAAAGTCTCTTGACAAATATAAAATTATCTTTTGACTTGTGTAAATGTAATTAAGAATGCATTAAAAAACTGTATTTTCTTCATTTTGG